TTTTTTTGATTTTGACCCTCTTCCAGCTATGATCATGGAGTCAGTTTTCTCTGTGGGAATTGGGTAGCTCAGAAGAACAGCGATCCATTGCTCACACTAATTGCTCACACTAGGCTGTCATTTGTTCTCCCTGACTGGGCAAAACATTTTGTAGATACCATGTGGAGTCAGGAAAGCAACTGTGAGAAAACCAAGCATCCTGTTGCCGCCTGCCCAGTGGGAAAACAGACTATGGCATGTAACAGTTTTTGTCTTTCTTTCTACAATGGCTGAAGCCCATCCTACTGAGTTATAATATAAATATGTCTGGGGCAAGGTGCTTTCCGAGTCCAGACAGCATTCTGGCTGCCCCATCACTCACTGGCAACTGTACTTCCAACATGTGTGTGTTTGTCATAGATGAGGTTTTAGGCTACAATATTTGTTTAACCTCCCTAAGAACTTTCAAGGCATCTTTCCTGAAAGCTGCTAATTTAGGGTCAAGCAGCTTTATATCATATGCAGAAAACAACTAACTGGGGGATGAAAGAATAGGAAGGGATGACACCACATGGCAAATGGAGCATGTCTCCAGTAGCAACCGGAATACCTCCTCACCCGGGCTTGTGAGGAGGCAGGACTTTTTTTCAGAAATCAAATGCTGGAATTTAATTGTGCGTCAGATCTCATTGCTGCTGGAGGGACTTGCTGGCTTGTATACATTGCTACAAATCGGAATATCAGTCCTTGGCTGTATACAGTGTAAAATAAGTTGGCGATTTCGTTTTGACCTATAAGAGTTTTTGTTATTTTATTTTGCTCTTTAGGTTATTTGACAGCTCAATGGCATTTGTCTATTTTATTTTACCAGAATTTCTTATAAATTTGTCTCTCTTTAAGGACATCATTGTTATCAAACCTTTCATTCTACATGTTATTCTTGGAGTATAATGCATTTCTCCAAATTTAATCCCTATAAGGATAGTGTTGCTTGCTAAGGTGCCAGCTTATCTTTATTCTTTGTCTGTTGTATGACAAGGTTTTCTACCTGTTCCTGAAACAGTTACTCCTGTGAGATAAATACTGACCTTAACCAGAGGGTTTTCTATTTTCCACTGAGAATTGGCCTGTTTACTTACCAGCATGAATCTTTTAATACCTGGCACAGCACTTTATTCTTCTGGCCAGCTCCCTGAATATTTATTTTTCTGATTATAAATATCCTGTGTCAGTAGCATGTTTTTCTTTTTCACTATAGCGCATTGACTTTCAGTTGTGATGGGTGTATATTCTGAATGCTGTACTTCATAACCCCCAGATGAAAATCATAGCCTTAGCCTATGGCTCTTAAAACTCTGCTAAAAATATTTCCCAGTTTCAGAATTTTTGTGGGTTCAGGTTGATACAGTTTCTCTAAATTGCATAGGCTGAATATTGCCTGCCAAATAGTGGCCTCTAATCATGTTTATAGCAACATCCATGTTATGCATTGAGTAAGGATACATTTGGAGTTTAAAACTAAAGCCTAATTATTTGTTCACAGTATTAAAACAACAATTCATCTTTGGAATATTAGTGTAAAATTATATTTAAGATTATCTATAATGAAATATACTGTTTTCAAGGAATCCTAGATTAGCAGCACTTTTTTAAAAAGCAATTGCTATGATATGAATCTGGTGTTATGTTAACATTTTGGCATTTACAATTCATTCATCCCCATTGGAGAGAAGGGAAAATATATTGCATGGTTTTACACAAATGTACCTCATTTCAGTGTGTTCCCTCACCCCCAAATGTCTGGAATACTGGATTTGGATAGTTAATATGTAATTTGCTGTATCTGTCAACTTCTTTTGTTTCTTTACATTGTTACATTTGTGTATAGCTGCTCTTTTGCTTTTGGATATATTTTCTAATTAAAAAAAATCACATGAGAACTATAATCTGTATAGTGATAACCTTTAGGAGCACATACTCAATAAACAAATGACTGCAATGATGTTGACAAGCTCACTGGTTTTTCTCTCTGGGTGGTATGTGGTATGGGGAAGTCGTGTTCCATCCTCACAGGAGGATAAGGTATAATAACCCCTGCAGAACATCCACCATGGCACTGGCCAGTTACAATGCCCAGAAACAGAACATTTGAAAATCCTCTCGCAGTTACTCTGTTACCCATTTTTGTGTCCTGCATGGTCAGTGTATATAAGAAATGTTTATAAATTAATAGATGTCTTTTAAATATGTTTATTGCTGAAATTATTCACTAGATTGACACATCACATCAAGCATTATTAATTATATCATAGATCATAATCAGACAACATAAATTATCTATGTGCTTATATTTTGCATTAGGCAGGATATGTTATTTCATGTGTAATTCATTTCAGCCTCATTAACGAACTGTTCATTACCAGGTAGGCTCACATCTTGCTCGTTTGTTTATTGTCTTGAGTAAGATTTTTTTTTTTTTCCTAACTGTATAAAGTTAGAGGAATGTCTCTGTTACAGGCTGCATATTGGGAATAGGAGAGAAATTCAAGTCTATTTGCTCACAGTATATTAAACTCCAGAAGCCAAACTTTTAAGGGCATCAAGTCTGCATCTGACATTTTAATAGCTGCTGTTTGGTTTCTATCAATCACGTCATTGCACATTAAAATGCACCGACAAAATAAGAGATCTGTCATTCCTTCGTTAAGAAACAGTAATCCAGTACAAGATTTATAGGCTTAAGTCTCAACTGTGTGTTCACAATAAATCCCCCTTCAGTGCTCAAACTGAAACAAGTCTCTCTGCCATTTAGTGTTTTCTGCTTAAAATGTCTCCAATATAAGATTATCAAAGGTGTTCTTACTGAACTACATATAAAATCCTTTTGCCAGCAAAAGCTTAATTTAGGTTGGCAGTTTCCCTTTTTGAGTACCCTCAGACAAGATCTTGGTTATATCAAAAACACATAGGTACTGATATATTATTAGCAGGCCTGGTGTTAATTAGGGAGAATTACCAGAAATAGTTTGCCTTGTGGAAATTTATTACAGAATCACACTTGACGGATGGCCGAATAGGAGTTGCTGAGAGAGAGCAGCTCCCACTCATAACCACTAATTAATAGGGTGCCAGAATTCCTCAGAGAATGTTTCATCCCAAGTGTGGGAGCCTCACAGGGAAAATGGTTCCTGTGCAGCATTTAAAATTTAACAGAGGAAAGGGGCCGGACACATGGCTACCTAACAAATATCAGCCTGGTGGGGCATGAGACTATATGAATGAGAGGGTTTAACTCAGTAATTACCATTCCTGAAAGTGGCCTGTTAGTATGAAGAAGATAAGCATTTTGCTTTGCCTTGTTTTGTGTGGCAGGTTCTCACTATTTAGTCTGGGCTGGCTTGGAACTCCGGATTCTCTGACCTTGGTCTCCTGAGTGCTGGGATTACAGGCATGTGCCACAATGCCAAAGTTGTGCATATTATTATGTGGCAGTGTCTGATTCAGAAACTTCATTTTATGAAGAGAATTTGGTGTGCACCATTTTGTCTGTGGTACGTTCTGAACTCTTGATTCCATGACTGGGAGGCTCTCTAGGTAGGTGGCAGGGTCACATGAGTGGTTAATAAGAAAGCTGTGGCTTCTGTGCCTTGGACAAGGAGTTGGAGGAAAGCGAGGTGCACTTAGTGATTGGCACTAATAGCAGAGCACTGGGAGAGCCCTCCTAAATTACAGCTTGCCAAGAAAACATTTTTTTTTCCTGTCTGTAACTATATGTAATTACACACAATAAAGCTTGGAGCCGTTGTTTAGTGTAGAAGAATAAAACATTTCCATGTCAGAAAACCACTGATCACTGACCTCAGGGAGAAAAGTAAAATAATTTAGAATTCACAGAGGGTATAATTTTTCAATTTCTCAATTATGGTAAATGCAGTTCCCAAGGAAAACGACTTCTGTGCCAGGCCCATGGATTGATGGACATGGTCTCTTAGGCATCCATGTTTCAAAAGACAAAGCTTCTGTCTCTTGTGTCCGGGTTTTCTAATATGGTTCCAAGTTTGTCTTTCATTTTTATATTCTAAACTCCTATTTGTTTCCTAGTTCAAATGAACTGGGTTTGCCCCAGCCCCCGCTTTTTTTCCTTTTGCTGGTGAAGCACATACAACTGGTGTGTTGTAACTTACTCAGAAATCCTTTGTTTCGAGTATTGTAGTAGGCCATAAAAATTCACGGTATATCTTGGTTTCTGACCCTACTGTATCCTAATATTCCTAACTTTACTCTTGATAAATGGGAAAGTAGATTGATCTCTAGTTACATCATAGTTCCATTAGTTTTTGCATCAATAGATATTTGCTTACTGAGACCCTGTGTTGACATCATTTTGACTATGGAAGCTTTGTCCCTGTTTGCTTGTGAATCTAACCCTGGCAAGCCTCCTCAGCTGAATGGAATGGACAGCAAAATCCATGCAGCTTTCTGAGCATGAGCTCTGCAGTGTGCTAAGTTGATTCTGCTTCAGCACCTCACATCTTCCATTCATTCTGCCCTGTTATGTTATTATGCTACTGTATAAGACTTGTTCTGGTACCATTGTAGACGCTCAAAAATTTTAA